TTGCCAGTTTTGACTTTTGCCGGATTTAGTTTCGACTTTTGCCATTTGCCAAAAATAGTTTTGCCTAACAACAGTACCTAGACTTTTAATTAGTGATTGGAATCAGTTTAGTCGACTAGTTTACTATACAATTTTTTTTAGTCGACTAAACGATTCAAATCCTCATTTTTCCTATAAAGCTGTTCTAGCTTAAAAATGCGTTCAGCATAAATTTTCTTTAACCTTTGCGTCATTGCCAAAAATAGTTGCGTCAACCATCATTAGTCAAAAGCCCTTCTCAAGAATAATATCCTGAAGTTTTGATATTAGCTATAATAATTTTAATTTGGAAGGAGAAAAGGCATTAACAGATCCTCTTAACAAAAATACTACTTTAATGGTTTTAATTTTCATTGGAACAGAAGTGAAAAGACATTTAAAAGAACGTTTCAAAAAAATTAAAGAATAATTTTCAAATCAGTTTAGCCCTATTCCTTTTATTCAACCTACTCATTGGAATAACTTTCCGTAAACAATGGTTTTATAATAATTAAAAAAGGCTGGTAGCAGAGTTATTACCGATATTGATATTGAAAACTTTTGTCATATATGTATTCTGTATTGACGTAAGTCAGTTTTAAATTAGAAACAGCGTTGATATCTTATGTTTCATGTTTTCAAAAGAATATATGTTAAAAGCTCTCCTATGTTTGATAGTTTTTGAGAACATTGAGTTAGTAAATACAGAGACCTCTCTAAGTGCACCCTCCATAAGTGCATTCTCTATGTAAAATCTCTTTAGTCCCAGCTTATAACAATATAATATATTTGACTCTATATAAATGCACATCCTCTCTAAGGCTTCTCTGTATTATATAACATTTTGGATTTCTTGCAGTATAGGTGATACCACTAATAAATTGTATTATAAATCAATTGATTTCACACATACTGCAAGAGATCCAAAATTTTATTTGAGATCAATTTTTAGAATTTGAGAGAAGCTTTTTAAAAAAAGGGAAATCTATTTTCACCCGGGTTAAAATCACCTGATAAACTATAATGCCATTTACGTAACTAAAATTATTAGTATCAGTAATATTTAGATGACTTTAACCCGGGTGAGAATAGAATTTCCCTTTTAAAAAAGTACAAAAAACTGATTTGAAAACAACATAAGTCGTTTGCAATCGGTATAAATTTTTTAAACAAATAAATAATATGGATTCAAATTATGTTAAATACTAAATTCAGACATGCACATATTCAAACTTGCGTACATATTCAAAATTCTATCAATATATGATAAAAATTTTGGTTTCAACGTATAAAACTAATCCATATTATCTTGTGTTATTAAACATAGCAGAAGTCTAATTTATTATTAGTTATATCTGGGTGATAATCGTGATAACTTTATTTACTTGTAACATCTAGACCTTGCTCGAAGAATTAAGTGAACTATCTTTTTTTGCACCATTTAAATACTGTGACGAAGAGGTAACTTTATTCCACGTATATTTAAGTCCATAACATATATTCTTAACATTTTAAATCTTCTCAATGCCTCATTTGTTTAAATGTGCTAAGTATATTTAGAGCATTCACGCTTGAAAATTCCAAAATCCAAAATGACATTAAAAAAATTAAGAGCATTATATAATATATGTGCGAATCATAGTACTTAAAATAACCTGTTTTGATTTTTCTTCTCACAATGCAAAAAAAAACTTTAACCAGTTAATAACAGAACCAAAGAAGCATTATCCGGTTAATTAGCTTACGAAATTAAGTCAAAATGGTACGTACTATCATTATAAACTTTGACAGTGATTTTAGATTTATGAATCTAAAATTCTTAATCCTGGCTAAAATTATTATGTTGACCAGAATTAAAATTACCCATTTTATTTGGTTAAACTAGTTATTAGTCAGTTCTTTACAATGGTTAAATAATTGCTAACGGGTTTTCATATATATATATATATATATATTTCATGCAAATGCAAATGCGAATGCGACTTTTTTCTTGAAATTTTTTTAGATACTAATGAGCTTAAAATTTTATAAAGTTTGAAGATCCGTAACAATACGAAAAGAAAATGCATTTTATTAAAAGTCATATGATTATGCTATTGCTTCTCGTAACAGTAGCAATTTTTATAAGGCCTAGCTTAAGTCAGAAAGGCCCACCACCGAATAGACCACCGCAAAATGGACCACCAAATGTACCGCAAAATGGACCACCGAATGGACCACCAAATGGACCACCAAACGGACCACCGAATCCGAATTCAAATCCAAATCCAAATCCAAATCCAAATCCAAATCCAAATCCAAATCCAAATCCAAATCCAAATCCAAATCCAAATAATCCAACAAATCCGGGTAGTCCGAGTAGTCCGAAAACTATCCAGCAACAATCGCCGATAACCCCCTCTACTTCTTCTCCTTTTCCAATGACGGCACTCGCATCTACTAACATAGATTCGATGCCTAAACCCGCTGCTGCAACACCCGTTGCATTAACATCTCCTGCCTCAGTAGGTACATCCATGCCTTTCGCCACAAAAGGACCATCAGCGTCACTTGCTGCACCTAATTTTAATAATTCAATAAGCAAAGGATTAACTATTAGTGTCATTGTCGTTGTTTCTCTTGTTTTGATTTTAGCTTCTTGCATAGTTTATCGTTTATTGAAACTTAGAAAGAAGAGATAACGCAAGTCATTAATTAGTTAAAAATCTGGGTATAAATTTTAAATCAAAAAATCCGATTTTAATAATACTTTATTAACTTGTAAATATGATGCTAAGTGCCCTATTAGCTAATAAATTTAATGTAACATTTGATTTATTCATTACAACAAAGTATATGTTCAATATATTTTTCTATATTTATAACTACGCAATCTTGGTATTTAGGAGAACATCATATAATATACTAATTAATAGTTAAACATTGTAAGCTCATTTTTTTCCAATCGTGAAAATACTCTTTTCTATATGGAATGTGGATATTTTAGTTACACTTCTAATTATCGTCAAATCGGAAATTTAAAATGAATTAATTAAAAAGAAAAATAAAATAAAAATTGCTTTCTAATAATAATCCTTGTTGAATCCACTTTACTTTTTCTGTATTTAAATACGTATGTAATTTTTTAAATGCTTTACCCTTTATTATCTGCTCTCGTTATTATCTGCTCTTGTTATATAATGATAAAAAAATAAATAAGATCAAGTTGATTTTTCTTCTAATATTCCAAACTGCTAGTTTTTTTTTTATTTATTCAGTCATTATTTTTTATTTTTTATTTTTTTATTAAGCGGCATCTTGCCTATATGTCTTTATTAATTAGTAACATATGA